GGAATCCTCTGGGTGCAGAGCAACCCCTGCTGCTGCACTGCCAGAGCACAGATGCACTGGCACACCAAGGCCAGGACTACAGGTCTCCATCACAAGGATAGCAGCCCACAATTCGTTGGTCTCCACCTGTGTGAATGTGGACTGCAGTAGGCATCCGGCTGTCTTTTGCAGTGCCCTCTCTGTCTGTGCCATGCGTAGACTAAATCAAAAGTATTCAAAGCATGCTCAGGCCTGCCAGAGGAAACTGTGAATGGGTGCCATCCTCTTCCTACCATGTATTTCTCTTCTGCCACATAGGCATTTTCTGCAGGTTTTCAAACAATTGCAGTCCCCCTAACAGTCTGAAAAAAAAAGAGGAGATCTTGGAATGGTTGCAGGCAGCTCCCTGAATATGTCGGCCCAGTGTTCAGCAGCAGCCCAATGGACAAAGAAACAGAGGGTTAGGAACTATAAAGAAAATTGCAAACAACAGAAAATGTCATTGTGACACTATAAATGGATTGTGTGCCCACACTACATGCAGTTCTGGACCCCCAACCTCCAAAGGATATTGTAGAGGTAGAAAAGGTACAGAGAGAGACAGCAAGGATAGCCTGTGTTATGGAGAGACTTCTAGATGAGGAGTGACTAAGTAGGCTAGGACTTTTCAGCTTAGAGAGAGACAACTGAGGGGGGGATATGAAAGAATTCTGTAATGGTGTAGAGAAAGTCAAATATGGGTTTACTATTTAACATCTCTTACAATACTGAAACTAGAAGACATACAATTAAATTAGTGAGGAACAGGTTTAAAACAAAGCTCTTTCTTTCACGGCATGTAATTAACTTGTGGAACTCATTGCCATAAGATGTTGCAGAGGCTGACAGTTTAACCAGGTTCCAAAGGAGTTTGGACAAATTTATATAGTTCATTAGTGGCCATCAAACATAGTAGGAGGGATTTAACTCCCAAATTAAGACTCTAAATGTTTCTTAGGCCTCTACATGCCATAAATACTGTTCCCATTACTATCCAGTCACTGCTACTGTGAGATACAGGAGAGTGGGCGAGATGGACGAAAGCATTTTCAAGATGATATGCTGATTTTAAAGAATGGGACAGGCATCATGTTAGTTTGAATCTTGCCACTACATTTCAAACTAGTGTCCAAAGTGGTATACGTAAGATTGCTTCTGGCAAATTGCTGAGGAAGGCGAAGATTTAAGCATGTTTTCATGTGCCTGCTGTTCTATGGTGAGGACTTATGTGGAGCTAAGAAGCAGTGTAGCCCAACTGGCAGAAAAAGGGTTGTTCTGCATTCAAGGTGCTCTGTGTGTAGACATACATAAGCTTCCTCTGGTAAAACTATGAGGCTGAATAAGGAATCAACTTCAGCCTCATGGTAAAACTTGAGTTCTGCTCCAGAACTTAGTAGTGTCAACCAAGCCAAAAGCACAACCCAATTGAACTTTTTTGGGAGAGGGCAGCACAAGAAATAAATTGCTGCAGTATAAAGTGAGAAGCTCAGGCATGCATTTTTAACAACAAGCATGGCTAATCACTGGAACAGACTAGAGAGGGAAGTGATGGATCTTCCATATTCTGTAAGCAAGCCTGGATGCACTTCCAAAAGCAAAGTAACTGGGTGAAGTTCTCTGGACTATGTTATACAGGGGGTCAGACTAGAGAAGATATTTGTATTATTGGCTTTAGAAATTCTGGAAGAAACAAGACAGAGCAGAATATGAGCCAAGTGTATGTTCCTGCTATGAAACAGGTATAGGTCTCAATCCTGCAGTTTGTAGGAACAAAGCCATAGCTGGCTTCTCCTTGTAGGTAAAGTTGAAATAATCCCTGCCTGCTATGGTGCTCAAGTGCCAGCAAACTGCCAGGAACCACTGTTGAATCTAATTTTATGTTAGACAGTACAGGTTGCAGCCGTATTGGTCTACAGGCAACTGGAATCAGAACTCTGGGTAGAGGTGACATCTTTTATTAGACCAACTAGATATTTGCAAAAAAAAAATTCTTCATTTGCAAGAATTTTTTTTTGCAAATATCTAGTTGGTCTAATAAAGGATGTCACCGCTACCCAAAGTTCTGATTCCATATTAAAGAGCAATCACTTTTATCTTCGATATTAAATTTGCACTTAAGACTTTAGAACAGAAAATTCCATCTTGATCAAAACTGATTGTAAACCTGCTGTCTCTGATACATACTCCCTATCAGCATGGTAGCAAATCATATAGATGAAATGTTACTTGTATAATCAGAAGAAAATAACCCAGTTACAAGACAGATTCATATGGGCGAAACATCTTGGTTCTTACAATAGCAAAAGATGTGATAGGTGACAATGATTCCACTGACCCTGGCATATCTGTACTACAAACACAGCCAAGCAAAGATCCTGTTATGCTTTTCACAGCTTGTGTTACAAGCAGGGACCCTGATCCTACAGACACATATTTAACTTTTATTTATGCTGATAAGTAAATGTATTGTGTATGGGTTTTGCAGGACAGAGAGCCATAGCTTTTATTGCAATTATTTAGATCAGTAGTTCTCAAATGTTTTAGCTTTGTTAGACTCAAGGCACCCTTTGAAAAATGTGGGCTCTAAGTTTTCACTTGTTTTTTTACTACTGAAAAATAATAGAGCAATTCTTCTGTTGCACAGAACTCCAGAAAGACCACAACAGGTCAGAGTAGCTTTGATGCTATGAATTCCTATTTGCAATCTCTGGGTTTGTTTTGTGAATCATACCTGCCCACCTAACAGTGTTTACATTGCATGGCACCCTGCAGCACCTTTGAAATGACCTCATGGCACCCTGGTTGAGAATCACTGATTTGGACCAAGTTTATAATAGCAATTGTCAAGAATATTCCACTAGAAGCAGGAGGAGCAGTGCTAGCATAAAATAGTCACCAGCATGTTTAGCACTTAGTACAAAACGTTGATTAGAAATGTGGGTAAATGGAAATTAGGAGTGCTAAATACAGAAGCTTCATGTAGTGGACCACATTTTGGACAGTCACAGATAATATACAGTTTTTGGAAAGAGATCCCACACTACTTATGAGACTTGCCATAGAAACTACTGTGATCCAGCAGGAGAACCAAATATGTAACATTAAAACTGCTGAATTAAGGATTTTGAAAACAGAAATAAATGTAAAAAATAAGCATTATGCAGCTAGTAGAAGAAAATATTAGTTAATAGCATTATGAGTATCAAGGGAATCAAGAGGATAGATCAGTTAAAAAACAGAACAAAATTCAGGCAAATAAGGCATAACTGCAACTAATTTAATTGATCTTGAGAATTGTCACCTTGCACAAAATCGTGTGCAAAATCTTTGGGGCCTTCCCAGCGAAGTCCGTGGATGTTACCTGATGGGAAAATCCAGGTTGCTAAATCCATAGAGTTAGTGTTAGAACAGAGCAAAATGATTTCATGCTGATTTTTTTTATATACAGGCCAAACAGGTTTACAAATCTACTCATTCCTTTCTATACTGAGTATAATGTTTTTATAAATCTGTTTAATTTTTTTTCCATTAGTGAAATCTGTTTGCTATTTCTGAACTGTTAAACTACATGTAACCCTTCTCCCCTTCTAATCGTTAACTAATTTATCTTTCATAGATTCATAGACGTTAGGGTCAGAAGGGACCTCAATAGATCATCGAGTCTGACCCCCTGCATAGGCAGGAAAGAGCGCTGGGGGTAGATGAACCCAAATAGAATCTAACCTCCTCTTGAAGACCCCCAGGGTAGGGGAGAGCACCACCTCCCTTGGGAGCCCGTTCCAGACCTTGGCCACTCTAACTGTGAAGAAGTTCTTCCTAATGTCCAATTTAAACCTGCTCTCTGCTAGATCTTTCTGTAGTGTTTTCCAGTGTTATTTCTTGTGTTTGACTTGCCTTTTTAACAAGGATAGGTCCATACTAGGTCCATTCCAATAGATCCGAACATAAAATTGGGTCCCTAGGTCCAAGGAAATCCTACAAGGATTTCTATATGTGCTTTACCTAAGAAATACCATTGACTTCAATGGGGCCACTGACCATATACAATTATGCACATGGGTAACTCTTTGCAGGATTAGAATTCACAATTACAGGGAAGGAAATCTTTATCTGTAATACTCATGTGCATGTATGGTGTTATGTAAATAGTTCTTGACCACTATATAACATTGCAATGTAGTTATTTTCAAATTCAGGTCCCTTGATTGCGTGTAGTTCGCCCTTGATTGCATTTAGTTCCACAAAACAACATTTTCATTTATGAAAGTAATTCAGAGGTATGGGAATTTTATAACTCAAAAGTGGCATACGTGCTTTAGAAATGTTG